GGGGCCGGGGATGCGGCGGCCCCGCCGATGGTGAGCCGCCGCCGGGCCCCGCCGCACCATGGCCCCGCCGGCCCCGAGAGGATGTTCGAGGGCTGCCGGCGGGCGCGGAGCCTGTGGGGCGGCGTCAGGCTGGAGGTGGCCGGGGAGAGCAGCCCCGTGGTGCTGCACAGCTTCACGCAGCTCGACCCTGACCTGCCGCCGCTGGAGGTGAGTGCGGGTGCGGGTTTGGGGGCTCTGGGGGCGAGGCGGCTCTCGGGGGGCTCCGCCTCGCTGGCAGCGTGGGTAGGGCTGGCCTGCAGCCAGCGTGGCTGGAGTTTGTGGGCGCCCATAGAGTGTTCCGCGGAATTCTGTTACATGGAATAGTGGTTTGGGTTCGAAGGGGCCGTAAAAATCGTCTTTCCCCGTGGGCAGGGACGCTTTCCACCAAGCACGGTCCAGCCAGGCCTGGAATGCTTCCAGGGATGGGGCAGCCACAGCTTCTCTGGGCAACCTGTGCCAGTGCCTCACCACCCTCAGAGAAGAATTTCTTCCTAATACCTAATATCTGCCTCACCATGCTCACAGAGAAGAATTCCTTCCTAATACCTAATCTAAACCTCCCTTCCTTCAGCTTGAAGCCATTCCCCCTTGTCCTACCACTCCATGCCCTTGCAAAAGTCTCTCCAGCTTTCTTGTAGGCCCCTTTCGGTACTTTAGGTGTTTCATTTTATTGAATAAATGGGTGCCCCTGCTTGGCTTTTTTTACTGTGAGTTCCTGTGCCCCTGGGGACTGGCAGGCAGCTGCCAGGCTCTGTAGGGAGAAACCAGATGCTCTTCCTCTGGGCACCCAGGGAAAGGGGCAGATTGTTAAAACTCCGGGCTTTTAATATTTCATTTGAGGCTTTGGCTGCAGGAGGCAGAAGTTTGCTCAGTTCTGAGCTGCTTGTAAAGGCTTCAGGCTTGTCCAAACCATAAAAGCGTCCTCCGGGAAGGTTACGAGCATTGGGAAGACTTTCTGGAGGATGCAAGAATATTGTGCTTGTTTGGATTCGACCTCGGGTGGTTCAGAGTCAGGCTGGTCCCAGCGAGGCCCGAGTGCTTTGTTGATGGCAGTGCATGTGGAGGCACCCGAAATAATCTGAGTCAGAGCTGGGCCTTTTATCTTAGGCATAGACAAGCGTCATCAGTGTGGTGGGAGTGTCGCTGATCGGGAGCAAACGGTGTGTCAGGAGCTCGGCAGGAGGAAGATTTTGCTGCTCAGAAGTCACAGCTCTGGCGGTGCAGGGGTTAATACAAGTGGGGGTCAGCAAGTCTGGCTTTGCTGGGATTTAGAGCCAGCTGCAGATGTGCTGCTCTGGATGCTTCCTGCTGGAATGGGGGTGGTGGAGGGGGGGGAATCACCACTACAGCCTCTTGAGTTGTTGTGCAGATATCCGCTGAGGGCAGCCAGTGTTTCGGGGAGGGCAGTGGCTCCTTCTCCCAGTGCCAAACCATTAACCCCACAACCTGTGATGGAAAGTCTTGGTCAGCCACGGCCAGGAAGGGATGAGCTCAGGCTCCGGCTGTTCTGCTTCACTTCTGGCCTGGTGGTAGCAGCCCATCAGCTTTGCAGAGAGTTCATGAAAGCTCCATCCAGCTTGTTTTCCCCCCTCTCCCCTCCCTGCTCATCTCTCCTGGGGGTGGGCGTACTGACATGATTTGGAGTCCCTCATCTGGTTCGTGTTATGCCTGGCAGGAAGTCCAGCCTCGCTGGCCCGCAGCGCTCCGGGAGGCCGAGGGGCCGCGCTTTTGGCAGGGAGAGCAAGAGCAGGGGGAGGAAAAGAGGGGAAAAAAGGGGGTGATGCAGCCTGCTGCTCCTCTCATCCCTGGGGAGAGCCTGCCTGGCACACTCTGCCCCGGCTGGAGAGGCTCTGCAGCTCAGGAGCGGCTTTGGAGCATCTTGGGTGAAGCAGCTGTGAGGGAAAAGTGATGGGGCTGAGGGAGTTTTTGCATGGCATGGCTGGCATTGAGCAAAGCCCTGCTCACCTGAGCATGGCACGGGCACAGCTGCCAGCCAGACCTCCTCCTTTGCCCTCATTTCTGCCCTGGGCAGTACGTGGGTCTGTGCTGGGGAATGGTCAGAGCACAGCCCCAGCATCTGCTTGCTCGAGCTTTCCTCCCACTCCCGAACAGAGAAATTCCATTTTTTTCCTGTTTACAAGTGATGGTGAGAAAAGGGGCATCCCAGAGGGGTGCATGGTCACCCAACATCCTCCTGAGCAGCTTTGGGATGCACGGGGTGTTCACTGCATGACTTGGGAAAGGAAAAAATGTGTCACTGTTGTGACAACTGTGGTGGCCTGGTGGGGTTGCAGTCCTCAGGCAGAGCTGTAGATGCACACTGAGAGAAGAAGGCAGATTATTTGAATAAGAACCCCCAGGGGCCATCAGTGTTTTGCTGGGTCCCAGTGACAGTCCCCAGGACACCATGGGACCTTTGTCACCTCTGCCAAAGGGAGCTGTGCTGGGTTTTGGCAGAGCTGTGGCAGCTCCTGGGTGGATAGCCTGGTCCCACAGGGGATGGAGGATCCCTGGAAAGCTGCTGGGCAGGCTGCAGGGAATGTGGCTGCTCTCTGGTCCTTGCTGAGCCCCCAGGGATGGCAGCAGGGAAGACTTTGCCTGTATCCCATGGCAACCGTATTGATCTCTCAAGGCCCCCTGGCCGTGTGAGCCAAGTGTTCTCACCATGATTTTAACCACGGGGGATGGAAAATTTAAACTGACTGTCTCAGCTGGGGGATTGACAGAGCAGCTTTGCAGACCTTTTACTTTGACCTTTTCAGTTCCAATCCATTCCACAGTCAGCAGTGAGTGTCAGTCCTTCCAGTCCAGCAGGAGCCACAGAGTGAATTTGGTGGCCCTCCTGGTTCTGCTGGAACACCACTGCGGATGACACAGACTGAAACTTTTGTGAAGCTGCTGAACCTCTGACGAGGCTGGGCTGACTCTTATAAAAAAGCCCAAGTCCTTGCAATTCTGGCTGTGTTTGTTTGCTGAACAATTAAGAGATTTTCAGTTGCTAAATGAATCCTTGAAAACTTGAATTGCTCAGCCCAGATGCCTTGTAGGTCAGTGCTTGTTCTTCACAGCTGGGAGGGAGAGGCAAAGATATCTCTTAAAAGCCATTTTCTTTTCACTTCCTATGGTGCCTTTGGAATAAGATCCTTTTCTCCCAGCCTGTTCTTCTCCCCCAGGCACAACCCGATATGTCCCTTGCAATTTGCCAAATGAACATCATCTGCTGGTATTTCTTGGATGGGGACCTCACTTCTGGCTCCCTTCCAGAGAGGTTTGGAGCTGGTGGTGAGGCCTGGAGCAGGCTGGGGTGCTGATTGTTGGTGGCTGATGCAGGGTGGGAATAACAGAGTTGGGAGGGGTTATTATTATTATTGTTATTAGTAGTAGTAGTAGCATTTGATATGGTTAGAGAGAAGTTGGAGAGAAGCTTCCAAATGTGTTTGTGTAATAATTGTTTTACTCAGAAGCTGCTGTGCCATGTTTCCATGAGGGTGGGGATCCCCATCCTGGGGTCTCACTGGGGTTTTAGTGTATTTAGTACCAGACTGGCAGCCCTGGAAACTGAAATCTGTGTTTGTTCACAGAATGAATGGGCAAGCCACTCCTGTTCTTCAGCATTGCTCAGCTTCAGCTCCCTGTCCCAGATCATACTGCTGCTCCTCTGCAGCCTCTTTTTGTCTGGCTCTCAGGGTGGCAGGGGCAAGTAAATACAGTCTTGGAGTATTTCCCCGCTTCCCTGTGCCTGGCTTTGGGATGTGATGAGCAAAAGGAGCATCAGGCCAGCTGTGCCTGCAGGGATGGGTCTCAGTTAGCTGGCACCCACCACTGTTTGAGCTTTGGGGGGCTGGCTGTGATCACCTCACAATTAGGGCCAGACCACGAGCTGTTTTTAGGGCTCCCTGAGTTGGTCTGGCCATAGGAAGGGCTTCACCACCAGCAGCTCCTCCATCTCCCTTCCCAGCTCTCTAACCAGCCACTGTGTCCCCCGAGAGGAGTGTAATTGAAGGAGGAAAGAGCTTATTTAGGTCACTCAGACCACATTTAAAGGCTGGGTATGCCCTGCTCACACTTTCTCTAGCACCCTTATCTCCAGAGCTGCCTAATGACTGCCTTTCAAACGGACATGCTCCTTTTATTTAAATATATCCTTGCATCGGGGCTGTCTCAGTTCTCAAATATTTCTTCATCTCCCATGGACTCAGCAAGAGGGGGGAAAGAAATGTGGTTGCTAAGGAGCAGGATTTGGATACAAAGCTGGCTGAGCTGCTGGCAGGGGGCCCCGGGGGGCTCCAGCACAGCTCATGGAGAGTCAGGGTTTGTGCATTGCTTTGGTAGGATGGCACTTATGGGGTCTGGGTAAGGAGGTTTGGGGTTTGAAACATTCCTTTGGCCTTGGGGAGAAAGAGGTGAGCTGTGGGACTCACTCCTTTTACAGGTTCATGTGTTCATCTCATGCTGTTTGTGTGGGTTACATCCCACGGCAGCATCTGTGGCTGGTCCCAAATGTGTCTGCTGTTCCAGGCATCTGTGGGACCTTTGTTTTGCAAAGAGATGCATCTGTGGACTGAAAGGTGATGCTGGCAGTGGGGTTTGGTGCTCAGGAAGAAGCACCACGCTGAAACTGTGTGGCAGCCTCTGGCTGGAGCATTTCTGGGAGCAGCAGCAGCAGGGGAAGGACGGGGATGTTTGGATACTCCAGTTATCAGCTGTCTCATTGCTCAGGTGGGGACTCACCTGCACGTCACAGCAGCCCCAGTGTGGATGCATTTGGACTTTGTTCCTGAGTCGTTAGGGAAAGGCAGTGCTGAGCTCGGGCACGGAGCACTAATCCCAGTAATCCCAGTAATCCCAGCCGCTCCTGGGGCGGGCAGGATGGCCACCTGAAGGAAGTCATGGGGAGGGGGTCAGAGCAGGGGCAGAGCTGCGAGGGCTGCTCTGGGCACTCGGGTTGGCACAGGGGGTTTGCAGAAGGGCGTTTGTGGATGGGCCTTTTGTTCCCTTAACACCTGGGAACAGCTGTGCTAGAGGTGCCAGGAAAGTCCTTTCCCAATTCTCAGCATGTGGCAGCGTGGGCTGTGCCAGGCAAGCGCTGCTCTCCTCCGGGCAGTGAGGTGACTCTGCAGTACCTCAAACCTCCGTCCCTCTCACCTGCTTCTGCTTTGTTTTTGTGA